TAATGTGCAAGTTGAACAGCCCAACGGAGTTTTGGTGAGTGTGAAGCCTGAGATCTTAAGTTTTCAGAAGTTGGGGGAGAAATTGAGTTACAAGATTAGTGTTGTTTCATTGAAAGGGCCAACAAAAACATCGTCTACTTCATCTTTTGGATCCTTAACTTGGGTTTCTGGTAAATATAAAGTAAGAAGCCCCATAGCAGTAACGTGGAGTTGGAGGTAGTTTTTCTCTGTGAGTTTGTACCAGCCAATAATTTCTGCTTAAAGGCGAAGAGCCGAAGACTAATAATGCAATCTTCAAAAGTAATCCACATAATATGAGTCCAAAATCCAAATTAAAGTCATATGTACTTGTGATTGACTTTTGCAATGCTTAAATTCAATAAAAATAATTTAATCTTTTTCAAGTAGCTTTAATTAATTGGGTTATAAATTTATGGAAATGGTTTTTTCAATCCAAAACCTTGGGTGGGAATATGTCGTTTACTCTTTTTTTTAATAATGTCAAAGATTCCTCATAATAGAATAATGCAAATGCACGAAATATGTATTATACATCGTTCATTATGGTAATGCCCCAACACCATCATTGAGCTGAATTCCCACCACAAACTACAAAATAAATTAAAAGAAAATGCTTGGTTTACCTCCAGCGATTGATGGGGTTGACTAATAGACACGCAAACTACATGGCATGAAAACAAGACCATACCATTTGATGATGAAAGGTGGAAAACTGCAAAAAGGACTCGGAACTTATCAATGAAGTATTTAGTACAAAAAGGTTCTTAAATCACAAAGATGAACATATCTTCTAGTTTTACAAGCACAAAGAAAAGGAAATGGATATAAAATTATTTCCAGATGGGTTTGATCAGTATTACGTATCATTGAGGTGTTGTAACAAACAGAATAGGAGACAGTCAGAAAAGTACTTTGGTTGTGAAATACAGAACTTCCAACTTTTTCATGCCACTAAATATATTAATAAACACTGCTTAGTCAATTTCCATTCAACTTTCTGGTACAACATTCAAACCACTTGTCCAAGTTTTACACCTTATATTATAACTACAAGAACCTTCCAAATCGGTTCCACACGTTCATATAATTGTGGTCCTAATTGGCATTTACCTAAACCACAACAAAAATCTCAGCCTACTCAGCAAATAATGGAGCTCAGGCAGTTTATATCCTTACCATTAATGGCAGAGGAAGGCGTTTACTTTAGCCGAAAAAGGAATAATGGGATGAAACTTTTATTGTGGGTCATGAGACCACAAAGAGAAGCTTTGTTCAAGTTTGTCAACACCGTGTGATTCTCTATTTTTGTCTATAAAAGTTCCTCTGCAGGGTGGTCATTTCTTGTCTTAAACTTATCTTCATCTCCTTTAATTGTTGAGGCCAAGACAGGTAACTTTTACTCTTCTTTCGCATGCATAGTCATTCCTTTATGTTAAACTTCTATATTTGACTATGAATTTAAGTTTCGTGCAATATATTTTTCCTCTTTCTTTTGGTTCAAGAGTATAAATTGTTATGTTGTGTTCTTGTTTTTACAGCCACTATGATTTTAAGGACGTCTTTGTTGCTGATAGTGGCCTTCATGGCTACCTCATCCATTGCTTCCTCGCAAAGGCTCTCATGGGCCGCAATTTGCCCACCCACTTTGACAATATTGCTGTTGTATTGTTTTGGCTACACCATTTAATTCCTTGCGCCATGCTTAAAAAATCCATTTTTTTTTTTCTTCTAAAAGTCGGTCCCTACCAACAGCCATGTGTAAACAGGTTCTTCTTTGTTTATTTCCAGGAGCTTCTCACTACATACCATGATACCATCTTGTGCCTTTTTAATCACCAAGTCTGTCTTGGTCGGAAGAATTTCTGTATATGGTGAGGCAGAAGTTTATTATTTAGCTTGGCGTAAAGGAATCGGCGTATACAGAGAGAGAATAGTACTTTATGGTTTTGTTGCTCTATATAGTTTATGAATAATGCTACAGACACCGATAATTTACACCAAATTTTTATATCGATGTACATGGCATCCAGTCAACCGCGGCCACGTCAGAGACAACACACGTCTTCCGTGAATGAACGGTCATCTATCAAATATGGATGAGCGTCCATGATTATTGTTAGACGGTTGTCCATTTCAAATACACTCCCGTCCATCAACCTCGTATATATGGACGAGAGTCCATTTCCTATGGACGGGCGTCCACCTTGAATGAATGTCCGTCCATATGATATGGATTGGTGTCCATTTGAAATGGACGACCATCCATTGAATATGGACGACCGTCCATTGACAAATAAAATTTTTTATTTGCCTTGTACAGATACCAAGAGGCGTCCATTTTCAATAATAATAATAATAACAGGTTTTTATTGGTCTCTAGTTAATAAAGAGTATTTCAAGATGAGCATTAAGCCATGGTAATAGTGTAATATAAAAATAGAAATTGCATTGAATTGAGCAAGAGGACAAATAAAATGGAATTATTAATTGGTACTGCATATACATTGGGTAATAGAAAATTCATTTATTGTATATGGACGGCCGTCTATTGTTTTGTTTTTAAAATTTTCTAGACAAGCATCCATCTTATATGAACGTCTGTCCATAGTAAATGGACACCCATTCATATTACTGTTTATGTAATATGGATAGGAGTCCATCGATATTTTTGTGAATGCTCGTTCATTCATGAAAGACATGTTTTGTCTTTAATGTGACCGCGTCTCATCGGATGTCACATCTTTTGGTGTCGATAGCATTATTCATAGTTTATTGGCTTATTGCGCATGTGTACTCAACTACACTTCCACTTCACTCTATCTGTTGGCTCATCGCAGGCTTTAAAAGTTCCATGCGTCCAAATGAGTAGTGTAGACTGTGATGAAAAGTGATCTTATAATGGTCACTGAAAGTACGTTGTTTTCTGCCCAATACGTATATGAGCATTAGCTCCCTTTGAGACAAAGTAAACAGAGTTCATAATGGAAACCAAAAACTCAAGACTCAAGACCATTCATTCTCTCTCTGCCATTTCCACTCCTCCCATCCTCTCAGTCCACCCACTAGCATCTTGGGATATAATGCGCAGGCCCCCCCTGTTTTTCTTTTTCTTTTCAAATAATTTACTAACGCAATTTCAGTTTGAATTCTCTCTTTGACTTATATTAAATTTTTTATACTAAATTTTACGCAGATTCACTTTTCAACCTCGTCCCAAGTTAACCTAAACGTAATATAAATTTCCATTTTTTTAAGAGTAAACGACATATTCACACCCAAGGTTTGACGAAATCCCAAGTTAATACCTCAAGTTTCATTTATTCCAGATTCCCACCCTTAAAGTAACGGAAAATGATTAGATATAATGGCTCAGGGGTAAATTGGTCATTTCATAGAGGAGGTGCACATTAGCAGATCGCCACCCCTAACAAAGCTTCGGCGCACATTAGCCAACCTTACCGCCTACGTTTTTCACCCTTTTCTAGCGATTCTTCCACCCAAAATCACCCTTATCACCATCATTCGAACCCTCATCCTCCCCTCTACAAAACCTTACCCTTGACAACCCCTCATCACTCGCCGATCGCCAGCCACGACAGCTGCCACATGCGACTAGTTTTTGTCGATCTCCACCGGCGAATGGCCACTAAACGGTTGCTGCGACATAGGGGTTTTGTAGATTAGGAGATGCTGGTTGTAGTGGTGACGTTGAATTAGATTTTCGTCATCGGAATCGACCAGAATCCAGCGAAGAATGACGAAAACCTAAGCCTGACGGTGCCAGCGATTGAAGGGCCTAATGAGTCGGGAACCAGAGGGGATTTGGATGACGGACGATGGAGAAGTTGATGGAGGTGACCAGGGGTTTCGCCGCCATTGAAAATAGCCCAGATCCGGTGAAAACCGAGATGGTGCGCAGTCACTGAGGGTGTAATTGAAGTAATTTCAAAATAAGATGGTTAATTTTACAATTTTAGTAATTTTGGGGTTAAAACTAATTTATTAATATAGGGTTAAGAGCATTATGGCAATTGCACCAGCACTAGTGTTATTTTAAGAGTGGGAATTGAAATAAATGGAACTTGGGATTCCGTCAAACCTTGGGTGGGAATATGTCGTTTACTCTTTTTTTAATAATGTCAAAGATTCCTCATAATAGAATAATGCAAATGCACGAAATATGTATTATACATCGTTCATTATGGTAATGCCCCAACAGCCATCATTGAGCTGAATTCCCACCACAAACTACAAAATAAATTAAAAAAGAAAATGCTTGGTTTACCTCCACCGATTGATGGGGTTGACTAATAGAACGCAAACTACATGGCTTGAAAATCAAGATCAGATCCATTAGTCATTAGATGATGAAATGGTGGGAAAACTACAAAAAGGACTTGGAACTTATCAATGAAGTATTTAGTACAAAAAGGTTCTTAAATCACAAAGATGAACATATCTTCTAGTTTTACAAGCACAAAGAAAAAGGAAATGGATATAAAAATTATTTCCAGATGGGTTTGATCAGTATTACGTATCATTGAGGTGTTGTAACAAACAGAACGGGAGACAAGTCAGAAAAGTACTTTGGTTGTGAAATACAGAACTTCCAACTTTTTCATGCCACTAACATATATTAATAAACACTGCTTAGTCAATTTCCATTCAACTTTCTGGTACAACATTCAAACCACTTGTACAAGTTTTACACCTTATATTTAAGACCTACAAGAACCTTCCAAATCGCGTCCCAACTGTTCATATAATTGTGGTCCTAATTGGCATTTACCTAAACCACAACAAAAATCTCAGCCTACTCAGCAAATAATGGAGCTCAAGGCAGTTTATATCCTTACCATTTATGGCAGAGGAAGGCGTTTACTTTAGCCGAAAAAGGAATAATGGGATGAAACTTTTATTGTGGGGTCATGAGACCACAAAGAGAAGCTTGTTCAAGTTTGTCAACACCGTGTGATTCTCTTATTTTTGTCTATAAAAGTTCCTCTGCAGGGTGGTCATTTCTTGTCTTAAACTTATCTTTTATTCTCTTTTAATTGTTGAGGCCAAGACAGGTATGCTTTTACTCTTCTTTCGCATGCATAGTCATTCCTCATGTTAAACTTCTATATTTGACTAATGAATTTAATTTTCGTGCAATATTATTTTTCCTCTTTCTTTTGGTTCAAAGTATAAATTGTTATGTTGTGTTCTTGTTTTTACAGCCACTATGATTTTAAGGACGTCTTTGTTGCTGATAGTGGCCTTCATGGCTACCTCATCCATTGCTTCCACAAGCAGACAGACTACATACATTATTCACATGGACAAAACCAAGATGGCGGCAAATCATTCTCCAGGCAGTTCCAAACAATTTTATGAAGCAATGATCGATTCCATCTCCAAATTGTCAGCCCTGACGGAGGAACAGGGACAAGACAAAATACCTCCCAAGGTCCTTTATGCCTATGAAACCGCCTTTTCTGGTTTTGCCGCAAAGCTCTCAACAAAACATCTTGAATCATTAAAACAAGTCGATGGTTTTCTCTCTGCCACTCCTGATGAACTTCTAACTCTCCACACCACGCACTCCCCCCAGTTTCTTGGCCTAGAAATTGGGAAAGGACTCTGGGATCCTACAAACTTAGCATCAGATATGATAATTGGGTTTATAGATAGTGGAATCTGGCCAGAACACGTCAGTTTCCAAGATACAGGTATGACTCCACCACCCTCTAAATGGAAAGGCGTTTGCGAGAAAGGTACCAACTTTTCACAATCACATTGCAACAACAAGCTCATTGGTGCAAGAGCCTTCTTCAAAGGCTATGAGTCGTTTGCTGGAAGAATCAATGAAACAGAGGAATATCGATCAGCCCGAGATTCACAAGGTCATGGTACACATACTGCATCAACTGCTGGTGGTAATCTTGTAGCAAATGCCAGCTTTTTTGGCTTAGCAAAAGGCTCTGCTTCTGGAATGAGGTACACATCAAGAATTGCTGCTTATAAAGCCTGCTGGAGATATGGCTGTGTTAACTCTGATATACTAGCTGCAATTGACAAAGCAGTCGCTGATGGGGTTGATGTGTTATCACTCTCCCTAGGAGGCTCACCCAAACCTTTTTATAGCGACAGTGTGGCTATAGCCTCATTTGGGGCAATCCGAAATGGGGTTTTTGTTTCATGTTCAGCAGGCAATTCAGGGCCGTCTAGTTCAACTGTAGACAATACCGCACCATGGATTACTACAGTGGCAGCAAACTATATTGATCGAAGCTTCTCGGCTATTGTCAAGCTTGGTAATGGACAATCTTTTGAAGGGTCAACCTTATATTATGGTCATGCAACAAAGCAACTGCCTATTGTCTATGGGAAAAATGCAGGAAGCGCAGGAGCTCAGTATTGTATTAATGGGTCTCTCAACAAAAAGCGTGTAAAAGGGAAGATTGTTGTTTGCCAAAGAGGACAAAATAGCCGAACTGGAAAGGGAGAGCAAGTGAAATCAGCTGGAGGAGCTGGAATGATATTAATAAATTCTAATAATGAAGGTGAAGAACTATTGGCTGATCCCCATATTCTGCCAGCTGCTGAAGTAGGAGCCTCAGCAGCTAAAAGCATCACCAAATATTTGAACTCAACAAAAAATCCAACTGCTTCCATTGTTTTTAAAGGAACAGTTTTTGGTAAACCTGCACCAATGATCGCAGCTTTTTCATCACGAGGGCCAAGTTCCATTGCACCGGAAGTGATCAAACCAGATGTGACTGCACCAGGGGTGAACATATTGGCTGGATGGCCTTCAATGACCAGCCCAAGTGGACTTAAATCCGACAAGAGAAGAGTTGTATACAACGTACTTTCAGGCACTTCAATGTCCTGCCCTCATGTTAGTGGCCTAGCAGCGCTTCTTAAATCAGCCCATAAAGATTGGTCACCCGCCGCCATCAAATCATCTCTAATGACTACAGCATATACCCTAGACAACACAAGGGCTCCAATTTCTGATGTTGGTTCAAGTAACTCTGTTTTGGCTACACCTTTTGCATATGGTTCAGGCCATGTTGACCCAGAGAGTGCTTCTGATCCGGGACTAATCTATGATTTAACAACTGACGACTATCTAAACTTTTTGTGCACCCTAAATTACAATTCTTCTCAGATATCTTTATTTTCAAAGGGAAATTTTACTTGTCCTAAGCCTGGAGCTTTTCGGCCAGGTGACTTGAACTACCCTTCCTTTGCAGTGAATTTCAAGGACAATGCCCCCAATATTACGGTGGAACACCAGAGGACTGTGACAAATGTTGGCCCCCCTGCGTGTTCTTATAATGTGCAAGTTGAACAGCCCAACGGAGTTTTGGTGAGTGTGAAGCCTGAGATCTTAAGTTTTCAGAAGTTGGGGGAGAAATTGAGTTACAAGATTAGTGTTGTTTCATTGAAAGGGCCAACAAAAACATCGTCTACTTCATCTTTTGGATCCTTAACTTGGGTTTCTGGTAAATATAAAGTAAGAAGCCCCATAGCAGTAACGTGGAGTTGGAGGTAGTTTTTCTCTGTGAGTTTGTACCAGCCAATAATTTCTGCTTAAAGGCGAAGAGCCGAAGACTAATAATGCAATCTTCAAAAGTAATCCACATAATATGAGTCCAAAATCCAAATTAAAGTCATATGTACTTGTGATTGACTTTTGCAATGCTTAAATTCAATAAAAAAAATTTAATCTTTTTCAAGTAGCTTTAATTAATTGGGTTATAAATTTATGGAAATGGTTTTTTCAATCCAAATACAACAATAATTTTCTTTTCATAGATCTATATAAGGCTTCAAAAGTCAATCAATTTTGATCAACTAAGACTCTTGTGTGTATTATTTAAGAATATTTTGAGTTTTATTTACATAGGTTACTAATAAGGATGACTACTAAAGGGATTTATCCAACTACCAATTTCAGAATCCGAAGATTAGTTGAGGTGTCCTTAAAAAAAAAAAAAAAAAAAAAAAAAAAAGCAAGCTTCTTCCAGTAGTTGTAAACAATAATACAGTGCAATAACAGCCGTTCTTTTATCCCACCATAAGTTTTCGTCCAAATCCTCATTATTACAGAAGAACAATGTAGCTATCTACTATTCTACATTGATTAAATGTGAATTCAAAGAACTGAGTTAAATTAGCATGACCAACCAAAAAAAAAAAAAAAAACCTACCCGATAGAGAAACTGAAACTACCTAAATGTAACGCTCCAATCAAGTTTCTCCACGTTCCAATATGTTGAGTGTTTGCTGATGTAATTATAACTTGACGTGCTTAATTAAAAGTTGAAAATTAAGATAAAATGACTGTTGCTCTTTGATGGCTCCTACCAATATCTTATATCCACCTGGCAACAGCCATCGATTTTACCGCCTCTTCCGCTGAAGATCGTAAATTGAACAGAAGCAGATTTTTCCCGTGCTCGTCGTCAACACGGACAAGGTTTTACTTTTCTTCCTTAATTTGCTTCTTCCAATTTCTCTCTGAAGTTTCCTGAAACTATCATGTTATCATCAGATTTTATTAGGTAAACTTCCCTTCTCTCAACATTTTTTAAATTGCTATCGTCTTTGGTTAACCGTTTTCATTCTTTGAAATTTTAATTCTTTCAGTACTTCAATTTCATTTCATGTATTCATTTGCAATCTTTAATTTTTTTCAGGATAATTAAGTGTAATTGAGTGTTTTATCCATGGAAAATTACCCCTATAATAAGAACGAGCCATACCCTTACCCCTATGATCCTCCTCCTCATCTAAACTATGGGCATCCACCACCACCACCGCCGCCTGATATAGATCCATATCACCAATCTCCTTATCAGTATCCATACAATCCTCCACATGCTTATCAATATCTGCCGTCTGCATATTCTCTACCACCACCACCACCACATCATCTTTCAGCGTCGTTTTCTGGGCCAGTTGACTATAATCCTAATTTCCACCACCATCCACCCCCACATTTAGAATCCCGTTCAGGCCCTTTAGATTATCAGTATAATGCACAATCTCATTCTGGGCCGCTTCCATATGGATATGGACCCCTTTCCCCTTTAACCTCACAACCATCCCTCCAACATAATAGCAGTTTTCAATATGGCTCATCACATTACCACTATCACCAATCCACTCACCACCCGCCGCCTGAAACTAATCCCCCATCGCCAAGTAGAGGCAATAGTTTGCAGAATTTTCATAGGCTGGATGCTATATCTAATAGGGATGATAATCCTTCTTACCCTTCTCTTTACCCTCCTTTGGATGATCACATGAGTAAGATGCGAATATCTGATACTAATCATGATAACAAAAATAATAATTACCCAACTGTCCCCACTTCATCACCTGCACCTTCAGTGCCACCATTGCCTGATTCCCCTTTAAGTCATCAGAGTTCAAATTCCCCTTTAAGTCATCAGAGTTCAAATTTGAGTAGTCGTGGGGGTTTATATGGGTATCCCAATGACTCCTTCTCGAGTAACTATGAAGGACCTTACTTCCATGGCCGTTCAGATTCTTTTGATGGATCACAACACAGCCCAAGTTCGCAGATTGTGCCAAAGGGATCTTTGAAGGTTTTGCTCTTACATGGAAATTTAGATATTTGGATCTATTGTGCTACAAATCTTCCCAACATGGATATGTTTCATAAGACTTTGGGGGATATGTTTGGGGCACAAATGGGTAATAAGATTACTAGTGATCCATATGTCACAGTGTCAGTAGCACATGCTGTGGTTGGAAGGACCTATGTGATAAGCAATAGCGAAGATCCTGTTTGGCAGCAACATTTTTATGTTCCCGTTGCACATTATGCTGCTGAAGTGCACTTTTCTGTTAAAGATAGTGATGTTGTGGGATCAGAGTTGATAGGAGTTGTGGCAATTCCGGTAGAACAGATATACTCCGGTGCAAAGGTTGAAGGAATCTATCCAGTCCTGAATAGTAGCGGGAAACCATGTAAGCAAGGAGCTTCCTTGACTCTTTCAATACAGTATACCCCAATGGAGCATCTAAGCATTTATCATCAAGGAGTGGGAGCAGGTCCTGAATATATTGGTGTCCCTGGCACATATTTTCCTCTTAGGAAGGGCGGTACTGTGACTCTCTATCAAGATGCTCATGTTCCTGATGGGTGTCTCCCACAACTAAGGCTTGATCGCGGAATATGTTATGAGCATGGGAAATGTTGGGCTGACATCACAACTGCCATAAGTCAGGCACGGCGTTTAATCTACATAACAGGGTGGTCGGTGTGGCATAAAGTTAAACTGGTACGGGATGCTGGTCCAGCATTCGATTCCACCCTAGGGGAGCTTCTAAGATCAAAGTCTCAGGAAGGAGTAAGAGTGCTACTTCTTGTTTGGGATGACCCTACTTCAAGGAGCATTTTGGGTTATAAGATGGTGAGTTTTATACTGGTTTTCCATTACATTTCAATATCTAGCTTCAGGAATTATAGTCAGTGATTATGCCTATAAGAACTATTGTTATAGCGATACAAAAAATTCAATACCTTATGTTTAGTCAAGTATGTAATTTTCATTCGCTTTCAATATTTAATTTTTAACACTTCCAAACAGGACCTTAGGTGGTTCTGAACTTTAATTTCAAAGATAGTGAAAGATAATATTCGCAGACTTGTATAGCAGCTTAGATGGAGAGAATTTCATTTCAAAGTTTGAAAATGAAGTGACAGAAATTAGAGCAATTTTTTTTTCTTTTCAATTTCTTCCTTGTCGGTGCTGTGTTTTGTGGGGTTGATTCAGGTGGAAGACAAATAACCAATTAAGATAAGTAGATTCAGATGGTATAAAAAAACCAGATTAAAGAATATGCCTTCTCCAGGCCTGGTGGCTGCCCTCTAATATAAAGTAATACCACATTTACAAACTTTCTCATATGAACTGATATGACAAAAGATAATTGGATGATTTTAAATTAAAAAGAAATTACATGGTAAACATGCAAAGTTGCCACATCAGTTTCTCCGAGAGAGTGTATAAAAAGTTTGTCAGTGTAGTATTATTCATAGATATATAATGATGGGCATATTAACAGAATCTATTGGTTGAAAACTGAGGTAACTCTTCAGGAAATGGTCTCATCAATTCAGTTTAACCGTACATGCTTATCATGTTTATAAAAGCCTGTCACAAATTGTACTATATTAGAATTTGAGATATATTTAACTATTGCAAAAATAATTGATTCAGAAGCTGGCTTGAAGTATGAGTTTTTGCATCTCAAGCAAAATATCTTGCCCAGTCTTTTGTTTTCTATTTTTGTATGTTACTGTTTTTATATATTTTAAAATTACTCTATTTTAGCTCCATGAGAAAGGCTTGATAAGCCCAATAACCTTGAATTTATCCATAATTGTGGAATTTCATTGTTGTGCTTTTCAAAGTTTTTCATTAATTATTCTGCATATTACATGCCAATGACATTCCTATTTAGAAAGCTTTGCTAGAAATAGTTTTCTATTGAACTTCCTATCGAAAAATTAAGAAGTTTTCTATTGAACTCCTTTACGTTATCAATTGCAGGATGGAGTCATGCAAACGCATGATGAGGAAACACGTCGTTTTTTCAAGCATTCATCTGTGCAAGTACTTCTTTGTCCCCGCATGGCTGGAAAACGACATAGTTGGGCCAAACAAAAGGTGAGGCATAAGTATTCATTTTTTCAGTTCTTTCTTAACTCTAAAGATGGCCATACTTGCTTCCTCAGTATTGATTTTATATTAGGCCATTGACTGATACCCTTAAGATTTTGGAATAGTCGTTGTTATCCAAATTGCATGTTGAATTTTACAATTGGATTGTTGATACAGGATGGATTTTGTTGTTTGTTCGTTAGCCACACACTAAATGTTGGTGTCAGTCTTGAATCTATGTCTTTCAATAAGTGAAACTTATACACTGGCCATTAAAATAACTGTCAAACTTCTTACCTAAAAAATCCTTCTCATAGTTTCTACCTTGTTTAAAATTGACTTTATCATTGTCTTAGGAAGGATATTGTAAAAAAAATTCATAGTTGCTTAATATTTTTTGTATGTGAAATATTATTTTTAATTTACCTAATACCAATTGAAATTTCAATTTTCAGGAAGTTGGAACAATCTATACGCACCACCAGAAAACGGTGATAGTAGATGCCGATGCTGGAAATAATAGAAGGAAAATCATAGCTTTTGTTGGTGGCCTTGATTTATGTGACGGGCGATATGACAATCCACACCATCCTCTGTTTAGGTCATTGGAAACACTACATAAAGATGATTATCACAACCCTACCTTTACGGTAATTCTAAACCTTATCTTATCTGGTAGTTTGTATGGATAATAGCTACGGAGTTCAATAATTTTATACCATTCAGAATTTAATAGAATTTTAATCAACACATGGAGTCCTATATATTGTTTTATGATCAATGGAGTTAATAACTTCATGCTCAAGAAATGGCTTGTTTTGGTGGCTAACTGTTATTTGACCATATCAAGTGTTTTACTAATTATCTAGTCATGCCTTGTATTTATTGATCAGGGAAGTACTGCTGGTTGCCCAAGAGAACCATGGCATGACTTGCACTCTAGAATTGATGGTCCAGCAGCATATGATGTTTTAACCAACTTTGAGGAGCGTTGGCTAAAGGCTGCAAAACCACAAGGGATCAAAAAGCTGAAATTGTCATATGATGATTCTTTGCTCAAGCTGGACAGAATTCCAGATATCATAAGTGCAGCTGATGCTCTTTCTATGGATACAAATGATCCTGAAGGTTGGCATGTTCAGGTATTTTCTCATTGAGCAATACTTAGATTTCATAGGATAAGAATGTATGTCTTAGGGTAAATCTTGCATGGTACAAAAAAGAAAGAAAAAAAGATTATCGTTGAGATAAAAATTGTTTTTTTACACTTAATAATGGATAACTATTTTATCATTTGTTTGTGGGCTACCAAATGCAGATCTTTCGTTCAATTGATTCTAATTCAGTAAGAGGCTTCCCAAAGGATCCTAAGGATGCCACAAGCAAGGTAAGAAAAGGTTTGGTGATTAATTTATATAGTTTTATTATGTAAGCTTTTGTTTTCTAATAAGTATATACATGTGGAAGTTGATCAGTTACCTTTTATTGAAACAGAATCTATTGTGTGGTAAAAATGTACTCATTGACATGAGCATACATACCGCATATGTGAAGGCTATTCGTTCTGCTCAACACTTCATTTATATAGAGAATCAATATTTTATTGGGTCCTCATATAATTGGAGTTCATATAAAGACTTAGGTGAGTATTTATTTTTTACATAAAGATATTATTATCATGGTCATGTTTCAATGATTACTTGTGTGTCTTATTAGCTTTTTGGTTAGTGCTTAATATAGAATCATAATGTTACTTTCTATTCTTAGGTGCTAACAATTTGATTCCTATGGAAATCGCTCTCAAGATTTCCGATAAAATCAGAGCGAATGAGAGATTTGCTGCATATATAGTTGTTCCAATGTGGCCTGAAGGTGCTCCAACTGGTGCTGCTACACAAAGGATTTTATTTTGGCAGGTTAGTATACTGTCCCTTACTTGTGTTGTCTATGCTTTGTCAATGTTATATACTGCTCATTTGATGAGGAATGGGTATATGTACAGTCATTTACTTGTTAATTTGAAAGAGTCATTGATTACTGCAGCACAAAACTATGCAAATGATGTATGAGACAATCTACAAGGCTCTAGTGGAGGTTGGGCTTGAAGGTGCATCTTCACCGCAAGATTACTTGAACTTTTTTTGTCTTGGCAATCGAGAGGCTATGGATGGGAGTGAAGTTAGAACTACGGGAAGTCCTGCTGCAAATACCCCCGAGGTATTTCTTCAATCTCTTATTGTGAATTCTCACAATAATACAATAATAACTAAATCAAGATGTTTACAAATAATCACTGTATCAAAATATTTACTAGGTAGCCTTGGCCAATTGTGCCACTTTATTTCTAGATTTATTATTCTATTAATTTCTTAATAACTATGTTTAAATTTTTCAGACCCTTAGTCGAAAGAGCCGTCGGTTCATGATTTATGTTCATTCTAAAGGAATGATTGTTGATGATGAATATGTACTATTGGGATCTGCAAATATCAATCAGCGATCTATGGAAGGCACAAGAGACACAGAAATCGCAATGGGAGCCTACCAACCCCGATATACATGGGCAAGAAAATTATCAAACCCATATGGACAGGTAATCTATGCATTATTCTTAGTTTCCAAAGTTGTTATTCCATCGTGGAGATTTTTTACTTTTTCTATCTAACATGTTAGTTTAGGTAATCTAACAGTCCATGTATATACTTTTGTCAGATTATTCAGATTTTACACATTAGGTGAATCTTATGTTATTATTTAGTATACTTCAATGCTATTAAGCTTTTTTTAGTTATAGAAAAACATCACTTCTTTTTAGTTATGCATCTCGACTAATGTTCGGGGAAGACATCAAAATTACTAATGCATGTGATCACAATTATAAACCATCATGTGTCTATATACTAACATGAATTTGGGAAGTGTTTTAAGTATCTTGAATAAATGGAAATAAAGTGAGAAAGTAGTGTATAATTATTTTCTGGTTTTTGATATGCATCTTGGTGTGGAAATTTGTTTGGTAGATCTATGGATATAGGATGTCGCTATGGGCAGAACATCTTGGAATTATGGAGGATTGCTTTACACAACCAGCTAGTTTGGAATGTGTAAGAAGGGTTAGAACACTGGGGGAGATGAACTGGAATCAGTTTGTCGCAGATGATATAACGGAAATGAGGGGTCACCTTATTAAGTATCCAGTTGAAGTTGATCGTAAGGGGAAGGTGAAGCCAATTCCTGGACATGAAACATTCCCAGATGTAGGAGGAAATATAACTGGCTCATTTTTCGCCATTCAGGAGAATCTCACCATCTGAACAACCGAAATTACAAGGTAAATAGAAAGAAATACAATTTTGAAGATATATGTTATAATGCCGTGGATATGATTGTGTTAAATCTCTTTCGCATTGGCAATGGCATTTTGTAAATTATCATGAACTCTCATATTCCTTTTCATACATTGGTGAGAAAATAACCATTCTTTTATTTGATTTTAATTATAAAACAATAATACATCCTTGTCGGTGCTGTGTTTTGTGGGGTTGATTCAGGTGGAAGACAAATAACCAATTAAGATAAGTAGATTCAGATGGTATAAAAAAACCAGATTAAAGAATATGCCTTCTCCAGGCCTGGTGGCTGCCCTCTAATATAAAGTAATACCACATTTACAAACTTTCTCATATTAACTGATATGACAAAAGATAATTGGATGATTTTAAATTAAAAAGAAATTACATGGTAAACATGCAAAGTTGCCACATCAGTTTCTCCGAGAGAGTGTATAAAAAGTTTGTCAGTGTAGTATTATTCATAGATATATAATGATGGGCATATTAACAGAATCTATTGGTTGAAAACTGAGGTAACTCTTCAGGAAATGGTCTCATCAATTCAGTTTAACCGTACATGCTTATCATGTTTATAAAAGCCTGTCACAAATTGTACTATATTAGAATTTGAGATATATTTAACTATTGCAAAAATAATTGATTCAGAAGCTGGCTTGAAGTATGAGTTTTTGCATCTCAAGCAAAATATCTTGCCCAGTCTTTTGTTTTCTATTTTTGTATGTTACTGTTTTTATATATTTTAAAATTACTCTATTTTAGCTCCATGAGAAAGGCTTGATAAGCCCAATAACCTTGAATTTATCCATAATTGTGGAATTTCATTGTTGTGCTTTTCAAAGTTTTTCATTAATTATTCTGCATATTACATGCCAATGACATTCCTATTTAGAAAGCTTTGCTAGAAATAGTTTTCTATTGAACTTCCTATCGAAAAATTAAGAAGTTTTCTATTGAACTCCTTTACGTTATCAATTGCAGGATGGAGTCATGCAAACGCATGATGAGGAAACACGTCGTTTTTTCAAGCATTCATCTGTGCAAGTACTTCTTTGTCCCCGCATGGCTGGAAAACGACATAGTTGGGCCAAACAAAAGGTGAGGCATAAGTATTCATTTTTTCAGTTCTTTCTTAACTCTAAAGATGGCCATACTTGCTTCCTCAGTATTGATTTTATATTAGGCCATTGACTGATACCCTTAAGATTTTGGAATAGTCGTTGTTATCCAAATTGCATGTTGAATTTTACAATTGGATTGTTGATACAGGATGGATTTTGTTGTTTGTTCGTTAGCCACACACTAAATGTTGGTGTCAGTCTTGAATCTATGTCTTTCAATAAGTGAAACTTATACACTGGCCATTAAAATAACTGTCAAACTTCTTACCTAAAAAATCCTTCTCATAGTTTCTACCTTGTTTAAAATTGACTTTATCATTGTCTTAGGAAGGATATTGTAAAAAAAATTCATAGTTGCTTAATATTTTTTGTATGTGAAATATTATTTTTAATTTACCTAATACCAATTGAAATTTCAATTTTCAGGAAGTTGGAACAATCTATACGCACCACCAGAAAACGGTGATAGTAGATGCCGATGCTGGAAATAATAGAAGGAAAATCATAGCTTTTGTTGGTGGCCTTGATTTATGTGACGGGCGATATGACAATCCACACCATCCTCTGTTTAGGTCATTGGAAACACTACATAAAGATGATTATCACAACCCTACCTTTACGGTAATTCTAAACCTTATCTTATCTGGTAGTTTGTATGGATAATAGCTACGGAGTTCAATAATTTTATACCATTCAGAATTTAATAGAATTTTAATCAACACATGGAGTCCTATATATTGTTTTATGATCAATGGAGTTAATAACTTCATGCTCAAGAAATGGCTTGTTTTGGTGGCTAACTGTTATTTGACCATATCAAGTGTTTTACTAATTATCTAGTCATGCCTTGTATTTATTGATCAGGGAAGTACTGCTGGTTGCCCAAGAGAACCATGGCATGACTTGCACTCTAGAATTGATGGTCCAGCAGCATATGATGTTTTAACCAACTTTGAGGAGCGTTGGCTAAAGGCTGCAAAACCACAAGGGATCAAAAAGCTGAAATTGTCATATGATGATTCTTTGCTCAAGCTGGACAGAATTCCAGATATCATAAGTGCAGCTGATGCTCTTTCTATGGATACAAATGATCCTGAAGGTTGGCATGTTCAGGTATTTTCTCATTGAGCAATACTTAGATTTCATAGGATAAGAATGTATGTCTTAGGGTAAATCTTGCATGGTACAAAAAAGAAAGAAAAAAAGATTATCGTTGAGATAAAAATTGTTTTTTTACACTTAATAATGGATAACAATTTTATCATTTGTTTGTGGGCTACCAAATGCAGATCTTTCGTTCAATTGATTCTAATTCAGTAAGAGGCTTCCCAAAGGATCCTAAGGATGCCACAAGCAAGGTAAGAAAAGGTTTGGTGATTAATTTATATAGTTTTATTATGTAAGCTTTTGTTTTCTAATAAGTATATACATGTGGAAGTTGATCAGTTACCTTTTATTGAAACAGAATCTAGTGTGTGGTAAAAATGTACTCATTGACATGAGCATACATACCGCATATGTGAAGGCTATTCGTTCTGCTCAACACTTCATTTATATAGAGAATCAATATTTTATTGGGTCCTCATATAATTGGAGTTCATATAAAGACTTGGGTGAGTATTTGTTTTTTACATAGAGATATTATTATCATGGTCATGTTTCAATGATCACTTGAGTGTCTTATTAGCTTTTTGGTTAGTGCTTAATATAGAATCATAATGTTACTTTCTATTCTTAGGTGCTAACAATTTGATTCCTATGGAAATCGCTCTCAAGATTTCCGATAAAATCAGAGCGAATGAGAGATTTGCTGCATATATAGTTGTTCCAATGTGGCCTGAAGGTGCTCCAACTGGTGCTGCTACACAAAGGATTTTATTTTGGCAGGTTAGTATACTGTCCCTTACTTGTGTTGTCTATGCTTTGTCAATGTTATATACTGCTCATTTGATGAGGAATGGGTATATGTACAGTCATTTACTTGTTAATTTGAAAGAGTCATTGATTACTGCAGCACAAAACTATGCAAATGATGTATGAGACAATCTACAAGGCTCTAGTGGAGGTTGGGCTTGAAGGTGCATCTTCACCGCAAGATTACTTGAACTTTTTTTGTCTTGGCAATCGAGAGGCTATGGATGGGAGTGAAGTTAGAACTACGGGAAGTCCTGCTGCAAATACCCCCGAGGTATTTCTTCAATCTCTTATTGTGAATTCTCACAATAATACAATAATAACTAAATCAAGATGTTTACAAATAATCACTGTATCAAAATATTTACTAGGTAGCCTTGGCCAATTGTGCCACTTTATTTCTAGATTTATTATTCTATTAATTTCTTAATAACTATGTTTAAATTTTTCAGACCCTTAGTCGAAAGAGCCGTCGGTTCATGATTTATGTTCATTCTAAAGGAATGATTGTTGATGATGAATATGTACTATTGGGATCTGCAAATATCAATCAGCGATCTATGGAAGGCACAAGAGACACAGAAATCGCAATGGGAGCCTACCAACCCCGATATACATGGGCAAGAAAATTATCAAACCCATATGGACAGGTAATCTATGCATTATTCTTAGTTTCCAAAGTTGTTATTCCATCGTGGAGATTTTTTACTTTTTCTATCTAACATGTTAGTTTAGGTAATCTAACAGTCCATGTATATACTTTTGTCAGATTATTCAGATTTTACACATTAGGTGAATCTTATGTTATTATTTAGTATACTTCAATGCTATTAAGCTTTTTTTAGTTATAGAAAAACATCACTTCTTTTTAGTTATGCATCTCGACTAATGTTCGGGGAAGACATCAAAATTACTAATGCATGTGATCACAATTATAAACCATCATGTGTCTATATACTAACATGAATTTGGGAAGTGTTTTAAGTATCTTGAATAAATGGAAATAAAGTGAGAAAGTAGTGTATAATTATTTTCTGGTTTTTGATATGCATCTTGGTGTGGAAATTTGTTTGGTAGATCTATGGATATAGGATGTCGCTATGGGCAGAACATCTTGGAATTATGGAGGATTGCTTTACACAACCAGCTAGTTTGGAATGTGTAAGAAGGGTTAGAACACTGGGGGAGATGAACTGGAATCAGTTTGTCGCAGATGATATAACGGAAATGAGGGGTCACCTTATTAAGTATCCAGTTGAAGTTGATCGTAAGGGGAAGGTGAAGCCAATTCCTGGACATGAAACATTCCCAGATGTAGGAGGAAATATAACTGGCTCATTTTTCGCCATTCAGGAGAATCTCACCATCTGAACAACCGAAATTACAAGGTAAATAGAAAGAAATACAATTTTGAAGATATATGTTATAATGCCGTGGATATGATTGTGTTAAATCTCTTTCGCATTGGCAATGGCATTTTGTAAATTATCATGAACTCTCATATTCCTTTTCATACATTGGTGAGAAAATAACCATTCTTTTATTTGATTTTAATTATAAAACAATAATACAGCATGTAATTTCAATTCCTAACAAACGATATAATTTCTGTTTGATAATTGAAGATGATGGATGCAACATGTTATTGCAAGCATTGTTTTAAAGCTCGGATCAGAGGGCAACTTATTTTGCTGTCCGAGTCACGGGTCAATTGGTCCAACTCGGTTGGACCAATGACGTCAGTGATAATTTTATTTTAAAAATTACATATTAATCTCTTAAATTTTAATATATTACAAAACTTTCCCTGAAAAAGTTTAAATTTGTCTCTAAAATTTTTATTTATTACAAAAATACCTTAAAAAATTACTAATTAATCTCTGACATATCTCCAAAACACTTTTATAAAATTTAATTAACTCATAATTTTAAAATATTACATAAATCCTCAAGACCTGAATCGGATCGCGAAGCTGCTGGGTCCCAGTCCGGTTTTTAAAACAGAGATATTTGCAAGTATTGCGCCCTTGGATCAATTAACTGTACAAAGACGATAATAAATGATGTTTGAAATAATATTATTTAATTTGAAGGATATTCTTTAATTTATTTAGACTGAAGCAATAGGGTGGCGGTGGATAAGGACCATAAATTACTCCAATATGGCCCAGAACTTATTCTAATTTCTGACCTACTTTACGTGGGCCCCATTCAAAAACCCATACACCAATTGGGCTCACTTATGAACGGGGCCAATTGATCCATGGCCCACAACCGTCACTTGATAGCTGAAAAAGAGGCTGCAATATAATATCACCTTTCATCTTGTCCGACCATTATCTTTCAACTTTATATTTTTTTTTTACTACTATTAGAATCAGTGGTCCATCACAAACGCAATACAATAGGACCCAATATTTTTCAGGCGATAGCTTTGGCCCACAACTTTACCTACGTCTTCTTCCACGCGCCACCAATCAACGTGACCGTTTCCACCCAAAAAAAAAAAAAAAAAAAGGTACGACTTTGTACGAATACCTTTTTTTTTTTTTTTTCTTTTCAAAAATTTTGGAAAACAGATCCTTGACTAGTTAATACCATATTTTCTCCTCTTCATATTATTTCTACATGTCAAGGATAATTATCTCAAGCATAAAAATGAATTTCATTTTTGAATTTTAACAGAACAAACCAGAATTGAGAGGGTGGTTGTCACGCGGTAGGATCCTTATAGGCAAATGGGTAAAAAGTGTGATGTAGTTGGTCGTAAGGCGACGGCAAACACATTGCGTAGGCATAAACCTGGTCGTGGGACCAACGAAGAGCTAGACAAACTTTGTAGCGCATCACATTCATATCACGCCTATGAGATTCAATATCCATCGTACACGTGGGCCACTTATGTGTAAATCCAGACTGTCATACTATTGTGGACCCAGCTTTCGGTGGAACAATTTATATTTTGTTTGTCCCCCACGTGTTCTCACTTTGGACCCACCTCAGTCTTACTTACTGTATAACATCCACCGTTGACTCATTCGGGATGCTGTGATGATCTCTGATAATTTTAAACGTTTAAGATTCATTACCACCAAATAAATCAGAGTGTCTATTGAGTGCCACGTTGCGCCTTGCTTTCAATTTGGAGTAGTAATTCCAAGATAAATGGCAGCACATGAGTGGCCGTGAACAGACAATAACGTGACTAGGAAACAGTAAAGTAATTTGACTCTATAATTTACCTCTCATCCCTCCCAATGTTAAATAAAAAGATGATAGGTCTCTTCCACATGAATCACGAAGGCTAATTTTTTAATGGAATGTCAATAATCTTTAGACTTGTTATGAGGCGATCATACAAGCTTTATCAAGTAGGAACCCGTGGGTGTTGCTTTGGACGTGGGAACCGGGATCCACCACAAACGTGTTATAGATTAAACCCTTTTATAATTTTCGACTGAAATTAGAAATAACCCAACTTGACCAATAATCAGTCCACTGAGGAAAAAGGAATAAGAAACTAAAATGCTGTGGCTCTTCACTTCCATTATTTATTTATTTACAAAGTTTATAAATCAGAGGCAAAGTGAAAATCTAAATCAGCCGNTTATAATTTTCGACTGAAATTAGAAATAACCCAACTTGACCAAGAATCAGTCCACTGAGGAAAAAGGAATAAGAAACTAAAATGCTGTGGCTCTTCACTTCCATTATTTATTTATTTACAAAGTTTATAAATCAGAGGCAAAGTGAAAATCTAAATCAGCCGCATCTGATGCTATCATCATCATCATCATCATCATCCCCATCACCATTTCTCTTTTGTAAGCAACTACTATGTGAATGTGGGCCATCCATAAGAGGAGCCCACGTGTCTTACAAAAAAGTACTACACCCAAAAAAGCTAAACCACCGACACGTGTCGCTCGCTGCTGCCCTAAATCTTTTAGCCCCACTGTTCTCGGTCGGACCACCGAACCAACAATGGGGACCATTAAGCGGCCGCCTTGGAAACAATGTGGAAACGATACCGTTAGCCTAGATGGACCCACATCTCTCTCCTCTCTTTGGGACCCGCGCCCCACATCACATGAGATGAGAGAGCGATGAGGTGGCCCCGCTTTTCTACTCTGCCAAAAATAAATAAATAATATCCTGGCTTGCACGATCCACGGAGCACCCTCCCTTTGCATTTTTATTTGAGTGTTGACCCACGTCCCACAACGTATGTGGACCCCTTTCCCCGCCTAATACGAACCCACATCACACGTGCACGTCTTTCAAACTTGCCCCACGTGAGCACGTGTATTCTCTCTCCTTCACCAATCTCTGACGAGCGAGAGTGAAAAAAAAAAAAAAAAAAAACCAACTCTGCTTGAGAAAGAAAGAAGGCCAACTTCGAGGGTCGTTAATGGCGGATATACAAGTACTGCATGGTACCAAGAACCGTTATCCCACATATATTACACGGGAAACACTTTGTTTCCTAGATTTCAGTGCTTTGCAGAGCGAGTCATGAACTGAAGCTCTTTTTTATCGTAAATCTCCAACGAAAAGTCTCGTAGCATCTGTGTTGTCCCGGTATTAGTAGTAGTAGCGGAACCTGAACTTGGAGCCATGACTGACGCTGTTTTGGATGGATTTGAAGTTGAAACAGTGGAACCTAACGTTGTTGTTACATTTGTTTGAATTTGAAGCGGGGTGGCTATATTAGCGGCATGTTGTTGCATGGACGATACAAAAGAAGAAATGGGTCTAGCTGCAGCTATGTTAATTAGTGGCGTCGCAGTTGCTGGGAATGCGAATATCTGAGGCTGATTAGAAGGTCTAGCAATGGCTGCCATAGGTTGTGGCACCATGAAGAACGCACCGGGAACGACGGCATTTGATGGTATGGCCCACATGGGTACCAGCCCTTGTGGCACTTGTGCCACTTGTGTTACTGCTTGTTGGGTACAACTAGCAGCAGTACTAATAGGAGCCAAACCGGAGGAGACTGATACGACATCGTTTACATCCACGTACTCGCTATTCGCTGGTCGTTTCCGCTTCTTTTTAACGCTTTGGTCACCTTGTTCGGAACTAGCGTTGCTTGTTGTTGGGATTTTGAGAGTCCCATTCACTGACATGGCGATGGCGGGAACGGTTCCGGTACCTGTGGCCGCGATAATTGCAGGCTCCGCGTGTTCAAGTAACCACCTGATGGTTTCCCCGTCCGACTTATGGCCAAGTTCCCGGGTCAACTGGAAAATACGAGCTGCGCACGTGGCTGGCATTCGGATCCTCCGACCACGACCCTCCACCTTTGTGTGGCGGTCTTTCGTTGAAGCTCTCTTTGGCGCAGGTGGCGCCGAAGATAACGGCAGAGGTGTCGTCGCCGGCACTTGGACTGCAACCGGCATAATACCTAATCTTGACGGTGACCTCTCGTCTGTGTCTGGCTCTTCTTTGAGCGCAAACGGTGGAGTTGGTGGTGAATTTGACGTGGGTTCCATGTAGCAGTGATTATGGTTTGATTCTACGTATTCTGTATCGTTGATTCTTTGATCGAGTGTTCTTGTATCTTCGCCTTCTTCAACTTCTTGTTTCTGAACTGTAAACATCAGTGTAAATGAAACAAGCGTGGGTGTAAGCCCTGTAACAGTGGAAAATGAGGAACAAATGAAGACTACATGAAGGGCTAAGCCCTTTTGTGCTCACAAAGACGTTCATGTGAGAGACACACTTCATATATATATATATATATATATAGGGAGAATTGAATGTGTGGATTGGACCTAATATTTTGCTTTGAATATCAACGGCTATCCATCGATCACACAACTAATTAGGACCCACAGGATGATGACATGTGTTGTGTCTCCCCTTCACAGGATTATGAGATAATCTGTTGGGTAGGGTCAAAGGTGGTGATGAACTGATGGGTCCAATGTGCCAAATCCAACTGCAAATTCTTCGATTTTAGTACGGTTTTACGAGTTTAACCTTTCGAAGTAGCGTGGGCACACGATAACCTCAAAGAAGAAGACTCCGTATATACTCAAGTTGTAATTCAAAAATGCACACACAGATTTCCATTTATTTCTTTTCCCTTTTTATTATTGTTTTCTCTGCTACTTTCAAAAGCTAAAGCTAGGATTATTTAATCCGGTAAATGGCCAAACCGAGTACAGAGGTTTGCTCACTGTATCTTTCAAGAAGAGCATTGTCTCATAATTCAAATTCAATAATCTTAGAAGACGGTTTTCTTTATACATTAAAGCTTTTGTACAGAGAAACATAAAAAAAGGCCATGAACAAAAAACTTCATCCAACTACATGAAAGAATTTTGCAACAGAATTGGGATCGTAATTCTTAAGTCAACCCCCTTGGAGTAGGTAATCCTATCTCAGTCTCAGCTGGTGGGCTAAGAAAGTTTTAGTGGGCTGGATTTGGGTCGACACAACCCCACCAACCGTGATTTCTCTTAATGAACCCTCCTTCGTTTAAACCAGAAATTCACGGCTTCCTTTTTAAAAAACGTGGAGCTGAAGTCTGACTCTTATCTATTTATTTAATACCCACACCCACCTTAAGACTTTTATTCTACTTAATTAAACAGAATGAACAACAATTAAATTATGCCATTGGGCACACCTAGCTGTGGCCCCAAACCCGTGTCACTTGTATTGTTGACAAAGAATATGTAACAGGTAATTTGGTTGTTGCTGTTAAATGTCATTTACACAAACTGAAATGTGTTAATGTTAGCTTTTGGAGTCCTATTAGAACAACGTGGTGGGCCGTACTAGTTGTTATTTATAATGTTAAAGAGCTTGCATAGTTCAGACCTAAAGAGGGATAACATCTGGCGGTAAGAAGAGTTTGTACTGTACCGACGGATTTAGAGACGAAGATGCTGTAAATTTGAAGTTGACTTTAAAAGATAAGAAAGAGAAACGATCAGACACGGCAGGTCACACTTTAATCTAGGGGACTCCGCTGTAAGGAGGTCCACACAACTTGTTGTGTACGCCAGTGGGACCTGATCCAATCTGTCAATCGGATGGCTTCACAACCATGTATCTCACTTCCAGGTGGACCCTACCACGTAAAATTTAGATTCTTGAAAAAATAAAAAGTAGGGCCAGCCTTTCCATCCGTGCAAATGCAATAGTTGTGTGGACCACATTGTGATGGTGGATCCCACCATTTCCACTGGGGTTTCGTGATGGACCCCTATGGCTTTTTATTTATTTTATATAAATTTATTTTTCCAGTTTTTCCTCGTGTATGTGTGAGTGTGTGGTGTGGGAACCCACCACCTGGGTAGGCCACCATAGATGTGGGTACAGACCCACTTGCTCAAAGGTGGTCCCCGTTTCAGTTTTATTGGATAGGGACCCTAGTTTTGGATGGACCCCACCTGTTTGTGTTAAAGAGTTTGCTTCTTGGACCCCACCACCTGCACACACTTTCCCTACCACACCACCCCACTAACTGGATTTTGACACGGAATTCTCTTTATTTATATCGGTTTGGTGGGCTACTAATGGGGCCTCACCTGACCCCTTTTATACATTGGACCATTTCTTCTTGTTCATGGCTTCATGCCCTTACCTTACAAAAGAAAAAACAGTTCAGACTTTTATCCCATGGGTTACTGTCTACCATCCCTGGCATGTTGGTGCAAAAAAATCTACTGCTACAAAAATAAGGTTTAATCCCGTGAAGTTGAGACGACTGATAATCCGTTTGACTTATACACATAAAACGACAAGTGTGAAGCAAGAGTCCTGTCGGAGGCCAGGGCCACAACGAAGATGGTGTCGAATTCTCAGGAGCAAGAATTTAGGCGTAAAGAGGTGATTTCTAGTAGTCGAGATTGAATCATGGAGATTCATTCCCTAATGAGAGGGCAGACCTCTGTTTTTATAGTGAATAGTCCTATTTTGAAAGATAATTCTTATCAGAAAAGAAATATGATTTATTGCTTTTATTAGATTAAATTTACTAATTTGAGTAAGATTTGGTATCTTCGTAGAAGAGGAAATAGAACGAGGTTCTAATTTTCTATTTATAGACTAATACGGGCTAATAAATTAGAATTCAGTTTAACTTAACTTGTAGGATGGTAGTGAGTAGTTCACAAGGTCATTTTAAGTGTAAACTCAATCGAAATTGGGCTAAGGCGTTGGACCGTGACATATTTATTCCATTATTGAACCTCGTCCTCGTCAAGCCAAGACGATTTTTTGCCCAAACATTACATATTCTCCATAATGGACGACAGAGACTCTTGTGATATCATATGGTTTTGGGATCAATCATGTTAAATTAACTAATCATTGATCTGGCAAAGTTGGCCTAAGAAGCTCAAAATTGACTGATATTCATGGGCTCGTCCGATTTAATCATGGTTAAGGCCCAGTACATGTCAGATTACATGTTAGTTTTGACAAACCCATGTATCAATCGTCAGTCATTTTCATCTCCATACGTGTGAAACTTTTCTTATAAAGTCATTCAAGAAAAAAAAAATATTGTATTTCTTATTTATCAATAATACAGTGGTAATTCAAGCTGAAACAACCATTTGATATTTCACCTGTATCTTGGGTACAGAATACGGAATAACAAAAATTCAAACCCGTATCCTACGAGCTGGGGGATTACTTCACTTACAGAATGTAAAAATGTCGAGTGTAACTTCTTAAAGATCTTCATCTTACGACCCTGACATATAAGTGTATCGTGTTTGGGCTCCCATAACAAGCTCTGTAAGTTTTTCTGCAAATTTAGAAATAGTATATCAAGGTTAGGAATATATAGTTAAATTAACCAGATATAAACCTCTAAAGTGGAATTGAGTTTAAGTGGAGGTAAAGCCAACCTGTTAGGAACCCGATTACAGGAACAGATTCCAATAGCTTTCCAGTATGTTCAAGTCTTTTCCTGATATAAATAGGCATTGTTTCTCACATTCCTTATTGAAAAAGAGATACGAACAAGGTAATGAAATAAAAAGCAAGTAATTTTGGGAGATATATCTCAGTACCTCGTATACTTGCTAAAGAATGGATCCCTCATGACATAAAGTGCCCATAAAAGTTTCCTTCTTTTCAACTGAATCAAAACATAAAATCTGCTTTAACATGGACTTTTTTGAAAGAAGACAGAGAACTAAACGCTGTCAACAAAAAGGTTGTAAATGGAGACTACTTATATGCAAATTAAGGATAGACGAGCCAGATGAAAATATAAATCCTCTAACCTCATCCTTTTCAGGTATAGAAAGATGAAACTTTTGGTCTGTTCCACCATGTCTTGAATTCGTAACTAGTGATAGAAAGCTAAATCCCATAAAATCCACACCCAGGGAAAGAAACCAAGGAATCCATGATCTAATTCCATATTTTCTGATAAATAAAACATAAATAAGTGGTCTTGTAATAAAAAGCACCTCTCCCATCACAAATAAAGCCCCGTTAATACCCTTCTTAGACAATAGTGACGAAAGGGTTGGCCTCTCAACCACCGAAGCTGAAAAGAAATCACTGCAAGTATTACTAGATTTATCAAATGTGCAATAGTTAGTTCTCATATCTCATTTTAAATAGATAAATACTTTTATGCTCCTCCAATATTGCATGCTGATGTTGAATCCTCTGCAACCATGCAGGCTCAGAAACCATCCTAGCATTTTCTCCGAGCCTGTTCAAAGCAGATAAAGCCCTTCCTTCTAGATTCCAAGGGTCCAGTGCAACTTTATTTTTTAAGTAACCAGGAGCATGATGCGCTCCAGGCTTTGAGGGATTTCCAGTTCTATGCTGAGAACTCAAATTATTTGAAGGTTCTTCAACATTTAATGTCTCTCCTCCGTGCAGAAGCATCTTGTATCCACTGTTCCGGAACAAAGCTAACCTAACTAAGACCCTGGGTTCCAATGAATACCAATTATTAGAGGAAATATACAAGTGCTACTAAGTTATTAATACAAATTGAAGAAGATAAACTGTTGCATGCACTAGATTATCAATCACACTTACTTGGTAGATTCTGTTATAGCAATGAAATTCCATTTCTTGTCATCACCATAATAATGTTGTGCCACAACTTCAACTAAGGTTTCCAAGTCCTTCAGTGCAGAAACACATAATGAATAAGGGAACGAATAACGCTCTGGGGAACCTATGCCCTTCTGGGATGGAGTGGTCTCGATTATATGTTCATTGAGAGCAGTAATTATGCCCAATATAGTTGTTACTGCATAAGATTAAGACAATTTTACCACAGAACACCATTTCGTGCATATGAGAATAAACACAAAAGAGAAATATTCAAAAAAAGGAGAGTTCTACTTGTTTGATTGATAAGAAAAATGTACAAAACTAGAAAAATTTATATTAATTTTAAATCTTATTCGTTCACTTACATGGACATAGAGAAACCAAAAGCTCCAACTCACTAAACCACATGAAACTATTTAACCTACTTTACCATCACCATTTCTTTTGAATAAAAACTAAAAATGATATTCAGCTCATTAAATTTCAATATTTTTTTTTATACTACTAATAAAACTCTAAAAGGGAGAAAGTAAGCCTGATTATATTTCTAGTCAGCAAGAAGTAGATAAATGTTACCAAAATTTCACAAAACCTGCTTCTGGTCCTATCTCTGACTCAGAAAACCGTTCAGGAAAAAGCCATGTCAATCCCTGTACAATAATTTCCAACACAATTTAAAGTATATCACTTGTATATCCAAACACAAACACACTACAAAGTCTATTTAAACTTTCTCAAATTCCAAGTCACTGCAATCCAATAGAACTACAACTGAAACAACCAAACCAATTAATAGAGCAACTAACTAAAAATATATACGGGTTGATAGATACCTCCATCCAAGAAAGAAAATATGACTTTCTTCATACTTTGAAGACTTAATATGGATGAAGAGCACATCAAAATCCTCTATTTAAATTAAGATTAGAATTTTATCAGATTTTCGCCAAAGACGATACAGGATTAGCATAAAGAACATCCACAAAGCCATGCAATTTAAACCATTAAATAAACTATTAGCAGCTAGGCATAGTCCAAGTCTTCCTAATTCATTAATGTCAATACCCAACTGAATATGTAACAGCAAAACTAAAACCAAATCCACTTATTTAAGATTGCACAACGAGTAGTCTATACACACAGAATTGAATAAAGAAAGTAGACAAATTTATACAAAATTATTGCGTGATAAGAAGACAGGACTTACATTGGCAAGAGACTCCAAGGAGTGCACATAGTCTCTATTTCTTCTAACCCATCTCTTATAAGTCTCCATAGCTTCACAAGCTGCTCGCTGTGCTGAAACTAACTCAAAATCCTAACTCGCTGAACCGCCAACAACTCTACTTCCTAATACGAAAACTCAATTTTTGGCGTCTGTTCGACCAAGAAATTACCAATTCTCTTCTTTTTGGGGTACCGGAGAGAAACTGCAGAGGAATCAAGAGAGAGACTCAGAGACTGAGGGTCGTGATGAGATGCTAATTTTGTAATTTGGCTAAATAAGGATATTTTAATCAGAGCCGTTAAATCAAGGTCAAGTTTTGACGTTTTCCGTAAAGTTGGGCATCAGAGTTGCACATGATGTAACGTGTATTTGTCTTATAATACACTAGCGTCGTATTATATCAGATATCATATCGGCAAAATAAAATCTTTTAATTACGTTTTGTGCATCCAATGAACCAAAACCGACGTCGTGTTTGTTGACTGAAGATATTTTTTACGAAGTGGAGACCCGAATAGAATAACGATTCGTATCTCTAGGGTTTTCTAAATCTGTTGAATTTTATTCAAATCATCGAACATGCAACTGACTCTTGAATTCGGGTAAATTCTTTTTCTCTGTTTGTCTGTTATTTCGATTTTTTTTCGTTGATATCTGATCTTCAAATTAATATTCTGTTTTTTGGAAGAAAAAAAAAAAAAAGAACCATGCTTTGTGAGAAATGTGAGGTAACTTGAGATATGGAGTTTCGTGGTTATTGTTTTATATAAGCATAAGTGTTATCAAGTATGTGCTTTATATTTGCAGTGAATTCAGGTGAGAGCTTTCTTGTCCTGCCATATGAAATATTGAAACTTTTGATCGCTTTAATGTTTATATCGTTTGCTTAACATAATGAATGATTATGTGATGCAGTGGAGGGTTAGAGCTTCTTTGTGAGTCTGTAAAGGTCCATAATATCAATGTTGATCCACCAAAGGGAGCAGAGAAGGTGAATTTTTATATGCATAATTGTTCTAGAAAGCTCAAGTATATGAGGTTTATCAATTTTTTTAGTTTTTATTTTGTAATTGTAACGTAATTGTTTTTATACTTTTCAGTTAACTATGAAAGATTTGCTTTCTTGGGTTCTCACCAATTTGATAAAGGAGAGGCCTGAAATGTTCATGAAAGGAGATACTGTGTAAGTTCTAAACTACATAAATNATATGAAATATTGAAACTTTTGATCGCTTTAATGTTTATATCGTTTGCTGAACATAATGAATGATTATGTGATGCAGTGGAGGGTTAGAGCTTCTTTGTGAGTCTGTAAAGGTCCATAATATCAATGTTGATCCACCAAAGGGAGCAGAGAAGGTGAATTTTTATATGCATAATTGTTCTAGAAAGCTTAAGTGTATGAGGTTTATCAATTTTTTTTTTTTTTTTTTTGTAATTGTAACGTAATTGTTTTTATACTTTTCAGTTAACTATGAAAGATTTGCTTGCTTGGGTTCACACCAATTTGATAAAGGAGAGGCCTGAAATGTTCATGAAAGGAGATACTGTGTAAGTTCTAAACTACATAAATAGTCTATGCATGAAAGATAGTTTTGAGTTATTTTGGTGCTATAATTTTGTAGTATTGAGGAAAGTATGAGCTCTACCTTTGCCCAATTATAATAACAAATCAATTTGGGACCCTTATCGGAAACTAATGTTATGTTATTCTTCTGACTTGAGGCTTTGGGTTGTCATGCAGGAGACCTGGTGTTCTAGTACTTGTGAATGATTGTGATTGGGAGCTCAGTGGCCAGCTCGACACGACACTGGAGGAAAAGGACGTGGTGGTTTTTATCTCAACTTTACATGGTGGATAGTGTCAAAATGTTTGATGATAAAACATAATGAGATTTTTGAAGTTTGGCATTGTGGCCTTGTTTGAGCATTGAATATGATAGGGTGAAGTGAAGGATTTCCTATTTTATTAACCCTCTTAACTGTCTTGCCTTCAATGTTTGTTCATGTAGACAATGTGATGATCAGGCAAATGATAAATTATTCTGCGTTAGTACGAGGAGTATGATTATAAATTATTGTATGGACAATATCCATTACGATACTTAATGATAAACATTTAGATGTCATTTCTTAATTTAAGGAGGCACAAGTTGAATAAATTGAAAGGGGAAAAACAATGAAATCTCAGTTCATTAGAACAAAACTGAATGAAATGAAAGGACGAAGGAAAAAGGAGAGTAAAAAAGAGATGTTTCTGTTGAGAGTGGGATTTGAACCCACGCCCTTTCGGACCAGAACCTTAATCTGGCGCCTTAGACCAACTCGGCCATCTCAACTTTTGATAAAGGGTTTTCGCTAGCATGATAAAATCATTTATTAACCTAATCCATGTGCAGACACCACCACACCACGTCACGTAGTAAATAAGCACGTTTCTAGCTTTGTGCCTATTATAACGAATTTCACATCAGAGCATATTAGAGTCTTGGGCTTGTAAATGGAGAGAGTCTATCCACCTAATATGTTAACCTTTTGGGTGTGAAACTCCCGACCTATGACAAATGATATCAGAGTAGACTCAATTCGTCTTTCTATGTCTCGCCAAGCATCCACGTGTGATTATGAATCCATACAAGAGTGAAGTGGACAGATAGACAAAGAACCCCACCTATGACGAAGGCGAGATTAGGTGGAAGAAAATATAACAATCTTACATCGGAAACCTATTGAGGAGGTCTTGGGCTTATAAATGAAGGGAGTCCCTCCACTTAATAGATTAGTCTTTTGGATGTGAAACTCTCAGCCCATGACATTATGCCTGACAAAACTCGTCACATCCTTCTCTTTCACTAGCTATTGCTGGCATGGCAACATTGGCATTTGGGTTACACCAAATCCATGTACAACCTACTTCACTTTGTATGTGTTGTTTACGAGACATCTATGCCACTTGATACATCAATTCACATTTTCTGGGCCTTACAAATATCAAGGCTATCCATGACATGAAAACTCATGAAGTAATGAATAATAGAGATTGTTTAAGATTTAACTGTAATGATGAAATCACTAAAGAGAAAAACCTGTGGATGATTGCGTGCCAAAAAAAAAAAAAAAAAAAAGGAAGCCTTATTACCATCTAAAAATACATAAAAAGAAAATTATTTTAAGAAATAAATAGGGGTATGAAGCATTATCCAAAAGTAAAATCGAAGACCGGTTTAATTTGGCAGCCCAATCATAGAGGTCGCCTCCTGTTGTTAACTCGAGAAATTGCAGAAATAGGCAAAGGTGTCAACGGTGAGCAAAAGCATAATCATGCCTTCTGTTTTCCTTTTCTTAGTCTCTCTAATTCTTCTTCAGCATCTTTCAACATTTGACTTAGATTGCTTACTCTCCGCTCCAATTCTTCCACTGACCCTTTAATAGTGGACGGTTGATATGGTGTCACAAATTGAGGTGAAAATGACTGGAGAGCTTCAACACCAGTAACCTATTATACCCAAAATCCAAAAATTAATATATACTCATAGTGATGCTAGACTTTATACACCAGAACCAACTTCAGATTTAGAAAATCATTTTTATGGAGCAAGCCCAACAAACTAAGGAATTAAAAGGAAAATACATATAAAGAAGCCGGAAGTAAGAGCAGAAAGAAAAGATTAACTGAGCAACTAAGTTGAGAATTTTTATGGAGCAATCACAAGAATAACATTGAATTGTATTCAAGGCAATGGGTTGTTATGCTTTTAAATTACAAAATGTTACGATATTTGTATATTCACTACACTTATCAGATCACTAAAATTAAAAAGATGACTGCATCATGTACGCTTGAACCAGCAATGCAAATAAAAAATGAAGTATTTCATAAAGCTCAAAATAAGGCCTCCAGTAGTTTACCTCTTGCGGCAGCAATGGCAACTTAGTGATGTGAAAGTCATCATACAACATGTAGAATTGATCAAGGTACTTTTGTTGCATCCGCATTCTAGCTTTGAGCAACTTGGATTCAACATCTGCAATTGCAGTACATTCCAATTGATGGTTAAGATTTTTATAGAAGCAAGCATATTAAGGGCAAAAATAGGGCCACAATACAAACCTTCCTCATCAAAAAGTACTTGGTTAATGATAATATTGTGTGTATCTATCTCAAATTTGGTGAGTTCCTGCACCAGTCTCTCAGTTTCATAGAGAGAAAGGAACTCTGGAATACAAACACAGACGAACGTTGTCAAGTCCTGCCAACAGAGAAATATGGTATAGAAGACTTCAAAGAGGAATGGAACTTTAAAAATATATAAAAAACTGGTATTTTCTTTTGATTATTAAAAAACTATCTACTTATATCAACAAAAGATTCTGATTGGAGATAGAACTTGTGAACAGGATCTTACTGGGTCTTTGAACTGCTTGTTAACTCGTTCAATCACAGTCTTCATGCTCTCAAGCTTTCCCAAGATAGCATCCTCCCCAAAATCATCATCCATACCAAACATACGAGTCATCTGTCATGAGCAGTTTCAGAATTAACCAATCACATCATAAAATAACCAGAAGTTGAAATGGTAGAAGACAGCAATTGTAAGTGTATATGTGAACTAAACACTTAAAAGCATGAAACCAAATCCAGTTTCCCAAGTTCTCACATGGGAAACAAGCATCTAACAATTATGCAAAACCTGCTATCTAACAGCAATTACAAAATCATTACGGTCTATTTTTCTTCTTACAGAAGTTTAGTAGTTGTTGCATATGACAGCAGAGTGTAATTGTGTCCAAATGTAAAGAAAGAAGAACAACAGGAGAAATCAGACCATCACAATACTGGTTTCTAATATAAACACACCATAAATGCATCATCTTACTACATTCAGATATCAAAATTAAGAGCTTCAAACAAATAAACACCTCAGCCAGGAAATAAGAAATAAGGAAGATGATACATGCAAAACCCACCCCCTATATCCAGAACTTATTCTCATGCTGGATTAAATTTGAACAAAATTTGACTTAAACTGAAAACCTAGATGGAAAAATTGCATGTCAAATGACTAACATGAAGACAACCACTAAGTAGAACACATCTTAAAACCTGATAACAGAACAGGTAAATCGAAACAGTGTACCAAAAGAAGAGATGGGGGTTTCTGCTGGGTAATAGATAAGCAAATCTGATGATAGTGCAAGGACTCGGAGTAAATAATGATTTGGCAGTTCAAACCATGAAGAAAATTATAACACAGACCAAAATCAATCAAAAGGAGTTCATAACCAAAGTATTAGAACCTCAATAAGAAAGGAAGATTGAATATAAAACATTTAACAAACCCAAGCCACTAAATTAAGTAGTTATATTGACACTACTCCAGATTACACACTCCATATGATCACAGTGAGGAAATAGAAACTTCAAAGTGACAAAGCACACTAGTTAGATGCATCCTATGTCCTAGAGAAATGCCCAAACTAATCAGATAAGAAGACAAATAATAGATCAGCCAAATGATTGATTTTCATATAAATTGTGAAAACGAAAAGAAAAATTAGTTGCTAAAATATAATTTATAGAAGTTTAGTAATGACAATCTCCCAAATGTCAACCCTCATGTCATGAACCACAAACATGAAAAGGCCAGAAGCCTCTAATACAACCTCATATTATACTTGATAAAGTGTAAGAATGTACCTGACTCATCAACCCACCAAATTTATTTTTCAAAGACATCATTTTATTGAGCCCCTTCTCTAAGGTTGATGGAAATTGTAATAGCCGGAGCGTATGGCCTGTTGGTGCTGTATCAAACACTATAACAGAATAATCCATTGTTTGCACCAATCTGTGCAGACAGAATTAGATTGATAAATGGTAAAGAAACTAAATGAGATAGAATATGAAGCAAAGTGAGAGAGCACAAATCGAGGTTTTATTTTTCCCCAGTTAACTGTTTTAACAACAAGAGAAGTTGATGCATGCGCAAATCCAACAGCATGTCACATAAAGCATTCATACGAGTTCAATGTACAAGAGAAGAAACATGGTTTTGATCATAATATTCGTAAATGAGGGAGCAACATTAATAAAGAAAGTTTCTGTCAATATACAAATGGGAAGTGTCAATTCTGTAATGATGTGCTTTAAATACACTGGATGACATGGAAAATAGAGCTCTGTTCCACATCTATCAAACTTAAGATTTAATTAGTCATTATACCTATAAATCAATGAAAAAAAATATTGTAACCGAAAACTCCTCTTCAAATTGATTAGTCAAACTCTAGCTAATGCACAAAGACATGCACCAGAAACTAAAAATTGATGAATGCCAATGAGTCCTGTAAATTAAATAACAATGTAACTTCCAACACCAAGAATAAAACATAAGTGCTCTAAGATCATTACAATGATAAATCCACTAAGAAAATTAAAGATACACAATCAAACAAACAGAAGCAAGACTCTTACTTCAGCATTTCTGCGAAGCTCATAGCCTCGTCAATACCAGGAATTGCATTTGCTAGCTCAGAAATCAAGCCATCCATCCCCTCATTAGATCCCATGTCTTCTTCAACAGTAGGATCCACCTCCTATAGACATTTGAGACACCAATTCCCAATTATAATGCAAAATTTAACCGCAATTTTCTCAAATCTCAGACATTGACCAAGAAACCCACAATAGCGAACCACCAAATACTCAAAAGAATAACCATGAAACCCCAGCGTAACAATAAACCCATTCAAGATTATGACTTAAATTTATCATGAAAAACTGAAATTCACACAAAATTAAAACAAGCCAAACAAGCGATAAGAAATAAAAGAGGTACCATGGCATAAAGATTTGTGAAGCCATTAACCAAAGTAGGTGTTTTGGTAAAGAGTTGTTGAAAGGCATCGCTGAGATTGTGAGCTGGGTCAGTGGATATGATCAAAACAGAAGGTCGAACTTTGGCCAAAAGGATGGAGAGAATCGAACTACATGTTGTTTTGCCAACACCGCCTTTGCCTCCAACGAAGACCCACTTGAGGCTGTCTTGCTCCAATATGTTCTTTACACTTCCCTCTGCCATTTCTTGATTTTCCATCTTTTAACAATCTGCTATTCTTTTAGTTTCCGTATTTTAATTAATATGGTTTGATTCTTTTCAATCTCAAGCAAAGAATCTAACTAGTCAATTGAACACTTCATTCTAAAAATCCCTTTACCCTATTACGCGCGTGTGCTTATATTACCTTTTAGGTTACGGTGGCGAGTACATAATTTCTACTGTAGATTTTTTCCAAATTAGTTGTCATAACATCAGATGGATCAAATACACCAGACTTTAATCACAAACGACTCCTCCCGTTTAGCTGTCTCGGTTAAGTTTAACGGAACAAGGACAATTAAGTGATTTTATATGTTGATGATGTTAAATTTTAGAATACTTTGGAATCCAACTCCTCATCAGTAACCTTGTTCCTCGTCAGTAAATGGTGGAAGAGACGAAGTTAAGAAAATCGAGAAGATGAAAACAAAGCAAAATTTGCAGGTCGTTTGTTGCCCTTACGTCTGGCGTTTGAGGTTTTAAGTTCTAGTCTTTCATGTGTTGCTATTAAAACTAACCATTGGAATTCAATTAATTAAAATATATGTAAACGGTTCGAACGATCATAAAAATAAAAAAATAAATGGGATAATTCACATGTTACAGTACCAAAGTGAGGGATCATATCATTTAATTCTTTCGTAAATCTTTACATGATTTAGTCAATTAATCTTCTTTCAAAGATTGACTTAAAATTATTTTTGAGCATTCTTATTAGCGATCCAGAGTTTAAGTTTGGATTTTAAATCAATATATACACATCTTCAGAAGAGACAAATTGTAGATTATTCAATAGAATAAGGAAATTGTCTTGAAATTTTTTTTGGAGATCTTGAGAGTTTTCGAAGTTGATTCAGTATAAAGGAAAGCTGGCTATATCTTTGGCACAAAGCCTTGTCCTCCTGAATATCTGCCAAGAACCACACCAGGCAGTACAGTGAAAATACCCAATCCAGATTATGAAGACTGGATTTCAAATGATCAGTTGCTCTTAGGATGGTTTTATAGCACCATGAATCCAGACATAGCTTCTCAACTAATGCAGAAATCGACTTCTAAGGAACTATGGGATGCCACAAAGGAGCTCTCAGGTGCACACACCAAGTCAAGAGTCATTTTCTATAAAGGTGAATTGCCAAAAACCAAGAAAGGGGGAATGAAGATGGAGGAATATTTGACCACTATGAAAGCTTTTTCAGACAACCTTACCTTAGCAGGTAGCCCAACATCCTTGTCTGATCTAATCACCCAAATTTTGAGTGGTCTTGATGCAAAGTACACCCCAATAGTGGTTCAACTCGGTGACAAAGAGTCACTATCCTGAATTGAGTTGCAGACTACTCTACTAACCTTTGAAAGTAGGTTAGAACAACTCAATACCTATCAAAATGGCGGCATCAATTTGAGCCAAGCTACAACCTATATTGCAACAAATAGACCTGAAAATAGGTCATCCAACTTCAGTTATGGCAGAGGGCAGAGTCGACCACCAAACAACAACATTAGTAAAGGCTCTAGAGGCAGATTTCGTGGAAGAAGAGGAAGAAGTAATGGAAGTAAACCAACATATCAAATTTGCAACAAAATAAGGCACACTGCCTCAATTTGTTGGAACTGATTTGATCAAAATTTCATGAGCAACACATCAAATCAATTTGACCAGCCCAAAAACCAGTCAACAAATGCTTTTATTGCCTCACCTGAAACACTTGAAGATCCCTCATGGTATGCTGATACTGGAGCAAGTCATCATGTCACCAATGATTTGGGAAATCTACATCAGAAACAAGATTATAGTGGTAAGAATTTTCTTGTAGTAGGCAATGGAAGCAAGCTTGATATTAGTCACATCGGTAACTTAAAATTACTCACTCAGCAAAAAGATTTATTACTTAATAATGTATTATGTGTGCCTAATATCACAAAGAATTTGCTGAGTATATCACAGTTGGTAGCTGAAAATAAGGTAAATGTTGAGTTTAATTCTTTTGGTTGTTTTGTGAAGGACACGCTAACAGGACTAGTGATGCTACAAGGGAAACTTGAAGTTGTTTCCACTTTCCACTTCAAATCAATCCAACATCACAAAATCAAAACCTTCACAATTAAAGCCTTCACGTTCACAAGCCATTTCTCTTTCTGCTAATTTGTCAAGTCCACAGTCATGTGTCAATCCTTTTTATTTCTCAAAAGAGGATGAATGGCATAGGAAACTAGGCCATCCATCTAAAAGAGTATTGTTTCAAGTTTTAAAACAAAGCAATGTCAATTTCAAATCAAATCAAATAAAATAATTTTTTGTGATGCTTGTTAATTTGGAAAATCACATGCTTTGCCCTTTAACAATTCTGATTCACATGCAAAATCCGTATTGGAATTAATTCACACTGATCTTTGGGGACCTGCACCATTACTTTCATCCTCTGGATATCGTTTTTATATACATTTCATTGATGATTTTAGTCGTTTCACTTGGATTTATCCTCTCAAACTCAAAAGTGACGCTGTTCAGGCTTTTAGTTATTTCAAAAATCTTATCGAAAATCAATTTGGAACTAAATTAAAACAACTCTACTCTGATTGTGGAACTGAGTATAACACACTTGTCCATATACCTCAGTTTAAAATGGTAGAGTAGAAAGGACAGGCATATTGTCGAAATGGTGTTAACTCTCTTAGCACAAGCTAAAATGCCACTAAAATTCTGGTGGGAAGCTTTTGAGAGTGTTGTTTTCTTGATAAATAGATTGTCAACTCCTATTCTTTAAAACATCTCACCAATGCAAAAATTATTTAACAAAGTTCCAAATTATTCTTTTCTAAAGATTTTTGGTTGTAGTTGTTTCCCATGTCTAAGACCATATCAAACTCATAAATTCCAATTTCATTCAACAAAGTGTGTGTTTCTTGGTAATAGTGAATTCTTCAAGGAATATAGATGTCTCAGTTCCACTGGAAAAAATATATCTTTCTAGACATGTAGTATTCAATGAAAAAGATTTTCCCTTCCACTTTGGGTTCCTAAAGACCAAAACAACAATAAATCCTGTCATTATTCCTTCACCATTGTCATGGCACTCACCATCAAGTTCTTGTATTCACACAACAAATTTTGCTCGTACAAGCCAACATCAAACTTCCTCAATAGCATCATCAAATTCCCGAGGTTCAACTTCTATCTCACCAAGAGATTTATCTCAAGATTTTGCCACTACAGTTCCCTTAAATGCAAAATTTGTGCAGCCCTCAAATCAAGCAGAATTAGATGAGTCACAAGTTGAACCTGCAATAGAAATCGGTGCCATAAATGAGAGGCAAAGAGGTTTCGATGCTCAACAGAACAACCACTCTATGATGACTCGAGGGAAGAGTGGAATATTCAAGCGCAAATCCCCTTACATAGGTATTGTCGAGACCAATGAAAGTCTGAATTCTATGAAACCTATGACTGTTTCAATAGCTCTCAGCAATAGTAATTGGAAGAAGGTCATGCAAACTGAATATAATGCTCTTATACAAAATCAGACATGGCATCTAGTTCCATCATCTACAGCTCAATCCTTGGTTGGTAGCAAATGGGTTTTCAAGCTAAAATACAACCCTAATAAGAGTATAGAACGCTACAAAGCGAGGTTAGTTGCTAAGGGATTCCAACAAACCCCCTGCATTGACTTCTTTGAGACATTTAGCCCTGTCATAAACCTTCTATGGTCCGAATTATGCTCACTCTAGCTGTCTCCAAAGGATGGGAGGTAAGACAACTAGACATAAATAATGCATTTCTTAATGGTTTACTTGCTAAAGATGTCTATATGGTGCAACCGGAGGGTTTTGTTGATCCTAAGAAACCAGATTTCGTTGTAAACTTGACGAGGTTATCTATGGGCTTAAACAAGCTCCACGCGCTTGGTTTGACAGGTTGAGGAACACTTTGATTGATTGGGGGTTCTGTAATTCCAAATGTGACACACCTCTATTCTTCTTCAAATCTACAACTAAAGTGTTGTTTATCCTCATCTATGTTGATGACATATTGATAACAGGCAATGACAACAAACTTGTGCAAACTTTCATTCACAAGTTAAATAAGGTTTTTGCTCTCAAAGACATGGGGTCCTTACATTATTTTATCGGAATTGAAGTTTGCAGGGATGAAACTGGGATGTATCTTACACAATCAAGATATATTCAAGAATTACTTGCCAAAGCTGAAATGGGACATGTCAAAGCCTACCCAACGCCACTTGCAGTAGGTAAAACTCTATCTAAACAAGATGGTGAAATCATGCAGAATCCTAAATCCTATAGACAGGTTATAGGGGGCTCTCCAATATCTTACACACACTCGCTCAGACATAGCTTTCATTGTGAACAGACTGAGTCAATTTCAGCAACAACCCACAATGGTTCATTGGCAATCAGTGAAGAGAGTTCATTATTATTTAAGAGGCACTATTTCTATTGGCTTGCATATTAAGCATAGTGACAGACTTCTTTTAAGTGGGTTTTCTGATGCAGACTGGGCTAGTTGTCCTGATGATCGTCACTCAGTAGTAGGTTATTGTGTCTATTTTGGTGACACATTAGTTTCTTGGTCTTCTGAAAAGCAACATGTAGTAGCTAAATCAAGCACAGAGTCGGAGTATCGATCACTAGCTAATCTTGCTGCGGAATTGTCTTGGCTGACTTCTTTATTGAAAGAGTTCTCGTTTCCTCTCTCTTCCAGACCAATTGTATGGGTTGACAACTTAAGTGCAGCTGCGCTTGCAGCGAATCCCATGTTTCATGCTCGAACTAAGCATATTGAGATCGATGTTCACTTTGTTAGAGACATAGTTTTGAGGAAACAGCTAGAAATATGATATGTACCCTCACATGATCAAATTGCAGATTGTCTTACGAAGGCCCTACCACATTCTCGTTTTGAATTCTTGTGTGACAAACTTGGTGTGGTAGAATCACCCCTTCGTTTGAGAGGGCGAGTTAAAGCAGTTGGATAAACCTTTGATAGGTTCAAGATTCAATCTTCAAAGCCTACGTGTGTTCATGGGTTACTGTTGAGGTTGAGTGAAACTAGTCTTTAGTTGTTCCTATTTTGTAGCATTAAAT